GAAAAGGTAAAATTTCTAATTATCCTGGTCGTGAGAAAACAAAACCTCGCTGTGATAACGAAGAGAACAAAGCAATAAGGGTGTGAATGACCTATTGGGGGCTTCAAAGCAGAGCAAAACCTGAACAGAAATGAACAACCTTTCTTGGTCCTTACGTGTATGCATCCTGTCCTTTATTGTCCTCCTTTCTGTCCACAGCAACAATAGACATGCAGTACAAGAAATACTACTGTGAGTTGAAAAGCCTCTCGTTCTCTCTGGGGCCTTTGCTCCCTAACCTGTGAAGGGAAGAAGTGAGTCGTGAAGGGGTCACTGAGAGTCCTTCATGCTGAGTTCAGAGAATTTAATTTCTTATATCTACTCCTTTCAAATCATCTTCGATAGTGTTAAGTCCAACATTATGTTTCCTGATCCAAGTCCTTTGGGAAAATGTTCGAAGTCAATTTCCCTAGGAAGCAGCCTGTGAAATGCTGCCATTTGCATGCAGAAGAATTTGGGAGGAGTGTTCCCAAGAACCACAACATGAGGGTGATGGGGAAAGCAGAATTGGACAGAAAGGGTAGCTGAAATGCCATACAGCTGCAGCCGAGGTCTCTTCTGAACACATACGGGGCTTTTGAGCTGGGGCTTCGCCCTTTTGAAGTTGATCTAACAGGGCTAGGAATCTAGGATTTGACACCCTCAGATGGACCAGCCTTGGGATACAGAGTGACTGTTGCAAGTGGCAGGATTCAGGGCCAAGCTACGTCCTTTAGCTGAAGGCATCACCTGTGCCTGCGGACTCCTGGAAGCAGCTGGGGAACTGAGGATCTGGATCCCTGAGAGGGATCGGAAGTAACTCTCTAGCTGTTTTCTGGTATTAGAATGTGACCAGGTGAGCTTCCACACCTGGATTTCACTGGCATTATTCTGAGAAAATACCCATTGGATGCTCTTAAATAATATATACAGTGACAGGTTTGAGATGTCTGATGTACTTTTAGGCATTTCCCTCCTGCCCACATACATGTTCTATTTTTACCTATAACTTTTAGGTAATATTGTAATGCCTGTATAATACCTATATATGTATATATCCTATAATGCCTATATATCTTGCCTACAATGCCTATATATTGCCTATAATATATATAGTGCCAGTATATATATTGCCTATAATGTCTATGTTGCCTATATAATGTCTATATTGTAATGCCTATGTAAGAAATGCCCATTACTTTTAGGAATTCCCCTCCTGCCCACATACATGTTCTATTTTTACCTATAGCAATAGCTCTTTTCTTCCTCTCCTGACCTTTTAAAAATATTCGGTAATTACATCAAGACCATGATCTTCGCTTCCCTTTATCTAGTTATATATGGACAGATAGATATCATTCACTCAATTGTTTGCCCGTTTTGTTCATTGATTAAGTCATCAATTATTTTTAAACACACACTATACTGGAGTCTCTGTGTAGTATAAGTGATCAATGTGCTTGGCTGCTAGCAGAAGATCTGGAGGTTTGAGTTTGCCCAGAGGTTCCTTGAAAGAAAGGTCTAGTCAGTGACCTACTTTATAAAATGTGTATATATGTATGTATGTGTGTGTGTGTGTGTCTTTATATATATAGATAGATAGATAGATAGATAGATATCTATATATATCTATATAACTGGGAGAAGTCCTAGGAAGCACAACTCTGCTCTGATACAAATGGTGACTCTATAAATCATAATCAACTCTAAGGAGACTTTCTAATTTGTATGCTATACTAGGTACTGGATTAAAAAAACATAAGAAAATTGTAAAAGATCTTCCATATCGCGATAAGGACTTGGATTCTGTTTACACATTAGAAATATACCTTAAATGATATAGACAGTCCTGTCACTTGAATAGGCTTGAGTTATATACAAAAATGTTAGATGGTTATGGAGGATGATGAATTGCAGGAAGAGTCTACACTACAAGGGAGGCAGTTTGTAAGTTGGGAATTTAGACATTGAGTGAATCTTTTCTTTAAACTTCAGTGGAGTCACCCATCACCAGTCTCTTGTCCTTCCTCTGAGTAAGACCCCTTTTCAGTCCCATATGTCCTAGTGCTGTCAGTAGCATGTCAACAGTCTATTGGGAGAGGTGTGTGTGCATTATTCTCCTAAACTACCAGAAACTCATGGGTCCCAGCCACATGGCTTCTTAAGTTTAAGCACACAATGTATTTGACCTTAGGTCACAAACACTGAGTGTGAAGCACACAGATGTCTGCACAGAATGGATGCCGCTTCGAAAAAGACTCCCAGAAGGATGTATCATTCATTTTTGGCTTTTCCATTCAATAGCCTCTATAGCTTTGGGCCAGTTACTAATAAGTAAAGTAAACCTCTCAGTGGGTGGGACTTGTATATTAAGTAAAAATTATGGATCTAAGTTAATGACCTAATGGTAGCGACTATCCCAAAGAAACAAAATCAAGATTTTTATTATTATTAGTCCAGTATAGACTGGGGCATAGAAGAGAAAATATCAGATTAATAATAATTATTTGAAGGTAATAGCTTACACTTTTCAATACAGTTCCAATATAAATGTCACTGTACAAAATTTTAATTCATTTCAATACTAACAAATCAAGTACTTAGCGTGCTTGGGGAAAAATGACTGGAACTACTTTAAAGATGCGTTAACCAGAGAAACTGTAAAAATATTTATATTCTTATGAAGGACGGGAAGAATGCGCCTCATGGGTGTCTTTAACTATCCTCCATCTTTAGGATAAATGTTCATACTAAACAAAAAATGGAAAGATGACCTTAGAATAATAACCTCAGGACCCAAGTGAGACTTGGCTTCTAATTGTACAAAAATCATTTGCAATATGTTCAGGATGGAAATTTCCGTATTACTTTCTAGCTCATAGGCTTCATTATATAGCTCAAACGAAATCACCAAAACACCAACTTCAAACTGGCTTCCTTCTCCTGAGATGGACCTTCCCATATGTAAAATTACTCACCATCCCCTTGCTCATTGTCTGCAATTCTGTTCAGTAACACAACAGTGTTTGTAAGGAGAGAAAAATAAAGGAAAGGGAAAAACCAATCCATTTGGTAAGGTGTTTCATATAAAGGTTGGGATTATAAAAGCAAAACTCTGGTCTGGCACTGTTAAGTCTTTCTTTAGCCAGTTCGTCCTTCTTCCCCCCCCCCCCCCCATAGAGATTCCCTGCTAAGGCCATGTGGAAAGTTTCCCAGTGCAAATGCTGAGCGATACCAGACAGCCACCACATTGGGCAACCTTCTTCCACGCTTAGTCATTTCCAACAGTCACTGTGACGGTCACATGTAAGATGCAGAGTTAGTCAGGGCCTGAAATGGAGTCATTAGGTTTTCTAACAGCTCTCAAGGACTTACAAGTTTCCAGATAATTTATCATGAATTGTATGGATACGTATGAGGTTAAAAGCTGTTAGCCTGAATGGTATTGATACTTATGAGGTTAAAAGCTGTAGGTGCTTGGAGAAGCAAAACCAAATAAAGTTGCCAATCTAATAATTCTGAGAAAAGTGGAATTGAATTGACTTTCAAACACTTGCCTAGACCCTTTCCACCCAGAGACATACAGGTAGAGAGAGAAGTATACATTGATAGTCATAAAACCATAGAATCACAATATTTGAGACTTACACTGCTGATCTGATGGGTTTTGAATATGAAGAGTGAACAAATTCTAGATGATCTAGTCCCCAAGTGGATTGGGATACACATTCCCTTTTACCCTTCAGAAAACCTTGTGTTGTAGGGAGAATTTGAAATATGAAACGCAGGGGTTCATAGAGGTAAATCGCTCATAGCACTGCTGGTAAGTGTAAAGAAACAATCCCTTGATGTCTTATTTCCTCTCCATTTAATGATTGGATTCTTCCTGTTTTATAGTTATAGCAATATGGGTAAACAAAGACAAATCCACCCCAATAGCTGATAAATCCAGTAACAATTATTTCAAGCACCTGTTCTCAGGAACCAACTGGCTATTAGACAGAATAAACAGGTCAAGATGGGGGGTTCAGGAGCTCTGTATCAAAGAACGATTTGGTCAAGGGGGAGATTAGATAATGTTCACCACCTGTCACTCTCGAGCGTCCTTTTGGTAACTGACAGATTCTATAAGTTTCAGATCGTACACAGGTGCCAAGCATTTTCTGGCTTTTCCAGGAGAGTATCCAAGCCAACACAATGAGCTTTACTATTGGTGAGGTCTAGCTGTTCCTCATCTTGAATAGACATCACCAAGTAGTTATAGTATATCAGTTTGCCTAAAAATGCTGGAAGATTCCAGCACACTGACACTGTCACTGGGTCACTGATTTATGCTCTTCTAGTGGAGGCGGGGAAGAGGAACTAGGAAAACTTGCTCTCCTTACAATCCAGCCGCCTACGCAGTTGATGTGACTGCAGAGAGAACTTGATTCGTAGCCGAGTCCTTTCCTCCAATACTAGAATGTGAATCTCAGACCTGCTCCTCCTGGAGCCTCCCCGCCCCCCTTTCCCATTGCATGCATGTGGACACACAACAAATTCTTCACTGTGCTTTGGTGACAGGAGGGTAATACTGAAAACTGCTCATCTGGATCAGCATCGAAGACAGAGAAACACAATATTAATTGACTGGCACCCTTGGTGATACGTACCGGCCTGGTCCACTTGTTGCAACAGGAAAGATGCATCCTAGTATGGCAGGGAGGAAGAAGTTCTACAAAATCTGAAGTGCATGGGCAATTGATAGAAGAACCAGATCAGAAGGCATGGAAACTTTGATTTGGGGACTAAAATTGCATATGCTGCAGGTGAAGGTACTTATTGGAGAAGTTCTTCTTCAAGCAGAGGATGCAATGATAGGTGCTTTGGGGAGGCTTTCTTCCCTTTGTGATAGAATAGGAAGGCCAGGTCTTCTCATAGGCCTTTCATTAGCATTTAGTACTGCTGGACAGAAAGCACGCATGACCCATTGCCTCACATACCTGATAAGGCCCTTGGTTACAGCCGCAATAACTGCTCTCCATGGTATAGCTTTTGGACACTCCCATCTCTCGCCACACCACAATCCTGGCTGTGGAGGCTCTGGATTTTTCCACAAGGAAACTGCAGCTGCCCATTGTAAACGCTGGTGCTAGTTTATCAAGGAGTTTGGGGAGAGTCTACAATAAAAAAAGAAAACAAACTATGAGGAGTTGTGAGTGATTATTGATATGCATCATAAAACAGCTTCTTAAAAACATATTCTATATCTATGACCATGTATATATCTACATCTTCTGTTAAATCTTGTATCAGTCCTAAGTAATGGATATCATTGGTTTTTTCATTTTCCAGAAGCGGAAACTGAGTCAAAAAAAATTTCAGGGAGTGAAAATCACTTAAGTTCACACAATGATAATAAGACAGGAATGGTATTCACAATGTGGCCTGTCCAACTCCAAGGACCGTACTCTTTCCACTCTACCTTCTGCAGTGCTATGGACATCCGCTGATTACACACAGTTGTTGGCCTCATGCTATGTGAACCAGTGTGGAGCCACATGAGAAGTCATAGATTTCACAGGAACAGAGATTCATAGACTGATTCTACCCTATTCCAATGTTTCTTACCCTTTAGGCTCAGGCTAGGAAATAACCATTTATCTCAGAAGGCCACAAGGTACTATGGATAATTCTTTAAATATTGATGATTTGTTGTGTACAAGTACATAATTAGTAAAATACAGTTTTTAGTGTAGGTATTTGAGCCAGAGATCTGAGATTTAGTAATGATAAAATTCCCCAAATCCCATTCTCTCTAGGTTCAAGTATCTCACTTGGGTTTTCTGTTGAAAGGCTTTATCTCTGACAACCTACTATCCATTTAAAGAGTGGTAGAGGCACAGTAGTAAAAGCATGTGGCTGGTAACCTGAAGGTTGGTTGTACTCCAACCACTTCAAGGGACATAGATGAGGCACTCTTTAAATTTGTCAGTCTGATAGAGTTACAGCCTGGTAAACCATACACGACAGTCCTACTCTGTCTTATCAGGGTCCCTATGAGTTAAAATAGACTGGAGAGCAGTGGTATTTTTATCATATCCAATTTCTTACCATTCTCATACTGACAGGAAGGAGGCCCTCCCTGACAAAGGTTCAGACCCAGCAGAAACAGTAAGCTTAAACCCAAAACAAAGTCCTTGGCCGTGGAGTTGATCCCAATTCTTGGCAACTCCATGTCGTATGGACTAGAACTGCTCTGTGGGTTTGTTCAGTTATTTTTGGCTGTGATCGTTATAAAAGGAGATGGCCAGATCTTTCTTCCAAAGGACAATGAGGGGTGTTTGAAGTGTCAGCTTATGGTCAGCAGCTGGACTCGTTGACCATTCGCACCCTCAAGGACGTTCTAAGCCTCAGAACTTCATGATAATAGCAATAAGAATTTTCTTGTTTTGGTGCTGACAGAATAAGCACAAACCACCACACAATATAAAAATCTTATGGACTTTAACAAAGAATGATGCTGCATTTGGATAAATGGTAGGGCGAAGGTTGAGCAGCAGAATAAGTTAGTTGATAAGTATATAAAAAAAGGAATTATGCTGTTTTTTACTGCAGATTCATTAAATTCTAGAATATTTAGTAAATATAATCATCCTGGTTCTCATCAACTGTGTTTAATATAACAATCAAATTAATGTAATAATGACTATAATTGCTAGTTACAGTATAAATTAGATGTTATATAAAATATACAGCTGCTTCCTATTATTCACAGATTACATATTTACAAAACACAATTTAAAAAAACAATTGCTAAAATATGCTTGTAACCCCAAACCAATACTTGTGATATTTCGACATCATTCAAGGACATCTATGTGCATAAAGTAGCACACACATTAGACACCGATGTCTACTCCAAACTGACATGGAGCAAGGTAGGTTCCAAATACTCACTGCCACGGAGTCAGTGCCAATTTAGTGCCCTAGGGCAGGATAGAACTTCCTTTGAGAATTTCTGAGACTGTAACTCTTTTGGGGAAAAGAAAGCCCATCTTTCTCGCACAGAGAGGTTGGTAGTTTTGAACGGCTGACCTTGTAGTTAGCAGTGCAATGCGTAACCACTATGCCTCCGGGGCTCCTAAAGTTGGTCCAGTATGGGCTAATAGAGTGTTCATGGAGACTTCGTAGAGCATACAGATCATGAAAAACGTGAATTGATTTGTGTTACTCTCGTAAGTAATGTAATTTATGGTGTTCTCTAAGTTCCCACCCAGTCTGCAGATATACAGTAGTATTTGAATGAGGAAAAGAAAATGCTAGTTTTGTCCGCCACAATTGCCCCTTATTTGATCGCATTGTATACATTCTTGTCTCTTTCTCTCTGAAACCCCTTCACCCATTCTTATTTTTTAATGTCTTATTGAGTTCATTTATAATTGAATTAAATTGTAAATTATATTGAAATCATCTTTTAATGTAATTAGTTGATTGTTTTCTGTCTCCTCTGTGGCCTAAAAGCTCCATGAGGGCAAGGCTCTATGTCTTTTGCACGGGAATACTGAATATGAAGCTCATAGAAGATTCTCCGTAATTATTTGCAGAAAGAAACAGAATACAAGAGGATACTCCCCAAATTCCACCCCCCCCAAAGCTATATATATATACACACACACACATATATATATTAACAAAACAACATTATCACCTTCAAAATACTCTCCATTACACTTAATATATTTGTCAAATCTGTGATCCATTCTTGGAAACATTTTTTCAAACTCATCTGTTTGGATGGCTGACAGCACCTCCCTCATTGTTTTCTTCACCTCTTCTATGTCACCAAATCTCTGTCCTTTCATATCCTTCTTCATTTAAGGAAACAAAAAGAAGTCGCCCTTATTGAGGTCATTTGAGCAAGGTATATGGACAAAGAGAGACATGCTGTTTTTTGCCAAAAACGTGCACACTGTGATGGCTATGTGAGCAGATGCATGGTCGTGGAGGCCAAACTAGTCCCCCATCTGACACAAAGCAGGCCTTTTTCGTAGCACACTGTTATGCAATCTTTTCAGAACCCCTAAGTAGAAAGCTTGATCAACAGTCTGACCTGGTGGACGAACCCCAAATGCACTATCCCCCTCACAGCATCATCTTGATCTTTGATGTCATTTGATGGGTTATTTTTGGGCGAGGTGACAATAGCGTCTTCCACTGGCTTGACTGATGTTTGCTTTGGGGGTCATAAGAATAGGACTATGTCTCCTCACCGGAAATGACCTTGGGGAAAAGTCTAGGTCACTTCAGAAGCCATTTTTTCTAAGCATGGATGTTTCCACTAGTTGCTCTTTATCCTGGTCCATCAGAAACCGAGGCACAAATTGCTCAGCCACCCTTCTCATTCCCAAATCTTCTGTTAAAACTCGATGAACCAAGCTCCAAAAAAGTCCAGCTAACTCCCCCATCTCTTCAGTGGTCCATTGTCAGTCTTTGAGCACAGGTGCACGGATTTTGTGCACATTTTCATCTGTTCAGGAAATTGAATAACGTCCAGAATGAAGTTTGTCATCAATGGACATTTCACCTTTTTTGAAATGAGAAAACCACTCCTACGCTTGAGTTTTGCCCATAAAGTGATCCCTATAAACTGTCTTCATTATCACAACAGTTTTTGCAGCACTTTTCCTGAGCAGGAAAAAAAAAATTCATAGCTACACACTCTTCTCTTAAAACTGAAATCACAAAAATGAGATTTGAGCGAAACTACTTTTATGAAAAAAATGCACTGTGACTATAGAGAATCTTCCCAAACAACACGACTGGGTGCACTAACTCCAAGCACGTTGCCTGATGCTTGCCTAGTAGGAAAAATGCATACTACAGGAGCTCCACCCAGCAGATCTCTTACCTTTTGGATGGGAGGTAGGGATACCCCCTCGTATGCTGGCCTAGCCTTTGTGGTTAGTAGTCCAACACTCGCCTGACAGTGCCACCAGGGTTCTAGACACTAGAAGACTGCCTAAACAAATAGGCTTATACATATTATGTATATATGCTCCAGTCAAATAATGAGAACACTTGAAAATGGATTCATCTATGTTTTACAATGATGCAAATATTTTAGTCTTCTATCCTTTAACAGATTTCTCATTCCTAACTTAAGTTAACCTGTTTGGGGCATATGCTATTACTCTTGTCCAAGTGATAGCACATTCAAATTAATTGTGTGTATCCTGGACATCCTTACTAGCTGTGCTCCCTGCACTGTGACCTGGAGGATGGGGATTTGCAAGGTGAAGTTTGAGTTTACCCGTATGTCTCCACAGTGACAGTTGCCCATTCATTAAATAATGAGCTCCAAAGCTATGGCATTCATAGTAAAGTCCTGTTCTGTCACCTCACTTCCCTCTTAGCTTTCACATACACTGATCTATAGCAGAGTGAGGAATGGCCAGTATTTTAAACTAGTGGCTCCCTGGTAGATTGTTGGTGTGTGTGTGTGTGTGTGTGTGTGTGTGTGTGTGTGTGTGTGTTTGCTAATGAATAGGCAATAGATTATTTTGGAGCTCCCGGATAACACATGTTTCCATATACAACTACAAACCAAAAGGTTGCCAGTTAGAACGTGTAGAGGAATAACTTGGATTGAAGCAGTTAGAAATATGCTTTTTGGAAACTTATAAGGGTACTTCCACTCTGTCCTCGAGGGTCACTGTGAGTGTTCAGCTAGACGGCAGTCGGGCAGTTTGTTTATTTTTGTTTTGTTTTGAGAGCTGCCCCTCAGAAAAGAGACCTCACCCTCTGCTTTCATGACATTTTAAAATGAGAACAAAACAGCAATGCCACTGAGTCAATTTCAACTTGCAGCAATCCAAATAGATCTTCTGAGACTACATTTTTAGAGGGGCAGGAATCCTCATCTTTTTCAATGAAGGAGTTGATGTGTTTAAACCACTGATCTTTTGATTAGAAGCATTATGCCTAACTCACAGCACATGCAGGTTCCTTTAGCCCAGGTAAACTTATAAACACTTCAATACAGCCTTGGAGAGGCCCTGTCAGTCAGAGACTACTCAATGCCATGCAAACATGAGACAGCACAGTTTCACTACTGTACATCAGACTTCCATGAGTCAGCTTAGATCTATGGAAATTGATTTGGTTTTCATGTTAATTA